TAAAGAAGCCAATATCAACGACTTGGTCTTTGCTATACTCGCTCCTATTGTGTCGGATTTCCGGAAAAGGACGGGACGCAACATTTCTCTACTAAGGGAGAAACAGATTATCGCTCCAGACTCCGTGACTTATGGCTACCAGGAATTTGTTTTAGTGGACTTGATCGGGGTAGGAAACCAGAAGTTTGTGTTTGTGGTGGAGGCAAAGAAGTCCTCTCTTGGAGAGGCGAAGAGGCAGTGCCTACTGGCAATGAAAGATATGGGAGACCGTAATGGCGGAGGTGTGGTGTATGGTTTCGTTACGACGGGGGAACAGTGGCAAATGTTGCGATATGATGGCATTGTCTTTACTCAGACACATACCCTACCCCCTCCGCTGTTTCAAGATATGGGACAAGAGAAAGAGAGATGGATTAAGGAGGCCTCAATCATTGTGGACTGTGTTCACGCGGCATTGAGATGTGGAGGATTTGTGGTCACATAATTGAAGGTTGCACTGCCGAATCAGGTACACCCCCGTCCAAGAGTCTGTTCTCTCGCTGGTGGAGTTTTTCTCACGAGGATTTGTTTGCGGTAGCTAATTATTAGGGAATATCACAATGTTCAACAGGGGACGTTTTGAGGGAAGGGGGGGATTGTGGTCCTGAGATGTAATTAGTTGTCAATTGATTCCTCTTCTACTGTTGAATGTGGGGCGACCCCTGGAATGAAGTGAGGGAGGAGGTGTAGTGGTCAACAAGCTGTAGCGAGGCAACAGCCACCCATAGCCAGTGGGTAGGTTGATGCATATGCTATATTCCCAAATAACCCGACCGCGTGCCGTGCCGTCGGAGCCGCCCCCCCCACCGGTAGTAAGGTTTTGTGTTTTTGGTTTTTCTGTCTCGGGGGTCTGAGCAACTTGTTTTTTGAGGCGATTCCACCCCCTCTTCTAAAGTAGGCAATTCTCGACTACGTAGCACGCAGTGCGATTATTTGGGGTTATGCGGGTACAATGGCTAGAGAAAAGAGAACTTTGACACCTACAGTTGCCAACGGGGGCACGACGAAAACCGGAGGGTGACAAACAGGAGTATTTGGCAGGCAAAACATGGAATTCGTCAGGGTAGGGTAACCAAAAAATACTCGCTAAGAAGTTAATCTCTGTTCGTCATCCGCCAGTTTTCGTCCCGCACCAGTTGGCGACTGTACGAGTAACCGTGCCAAGGTTCCCGCCGATTATGTAACTGCACACAGTTCCAAAATCTTGCGGCACGTCTACGACGTGCCTATCAGCTCAACATAACATATCAGCTCAACGTAACATTTCAAAATACAACTAACTAAAAACTATATTTACACCACCCCACGCCTTGTTGATTGTTTAAGTTGTGGATTTTGCTTCCTAACAAACTGCTTGAGTTTCTTATGAACTAGTTTCAATTGCCTTTTCCAGTCGTGAAATGCCTCTTTTTCCAGCCTTTCTAGTTGTCGCTGTGCCTGTTGCACCTTTTTAGCTAGAGTCTCCTCCTCTTTCTTACACACCATGGCTCTTGCCTCGCCTGCATATAATACCCCTCCCTTCTAAACCAACCTTCGTGACCTATTCTGTCGATTGGATTGTGCAAGCTCTGCTGCTTGGGTTCTTTGCAGGGCATCCAGAGTCTGTGCTGCCACATGTGCTTGGGCAACACTTCCTTTTATAAAGATGCTAAGAGAGTGTTTGAAGCTGGGTAAGGAGGGATCGGCATTCCAAAGGAAGTTGGCATGACACTTCAAAGACTGAACTGTCCTTGGGGTTGTTGAGAGTTGCTGTATGGACCGAGGTGGAGTGGTTGGACAAGATGGCTGAGAGTATCCAGAGTATTCCTGTAGGTGACTGAAAACTACATCGGAATTGAACAGAACAAGCCCAGTCTTCCGAAAGACTGAGAGTATTCTTGATTTCTTGAATGCCTGCTGCCGAATTGATATAAGCGCAAAAAGAAGTTCGATTTTATTGAAATCTGAGTAACCCGTTCGTGTCGCTTGGTCAATGGCCTTGGCATGATAGTGCTTTAGTGGTTGAAAGACCACCACATCAAGAGGGTGTAAGAGGTGTGTTGTATGCAGAGGGAGACAGAATGGTAGGATATTATACTCCTCGCAAAACTCTACGAAGTTCGGCGTATAGTGCAATCCATGTCCATCAAAGAGAAGTAAACAGCAAATACCAACTTGCCAGTAGGAAGAAAATCTTTCAAAGTGATGAAGCCAGTCAAGGCCGAAAACATCATGTGAGTATCCAGTTTCCAAGACTGAGAGAAGAACATTATCCTCCAGGTCTGTTTTGGTAGAACAGTCCTCCATATGAAGAGCGCCAGGCAAAATAAGCATTGGGGGTAAAATATAACCGTCAGCGGTGATAACTTCGTATGAGGTAACAAGTTCTCAAGTACTGGAACTTGCAAGGTATGATTGGCAGTCTGGATCTAAGGTGACTATCCCTTGGTCCTTCCCAATTTCTATCTGGAATCCTGTCTCGTCAAAATTGTACTGATCACAATCTTGAATACCTTTTTCATCGCACAATGATTTATAACGTCGATACTAGTTCAACAGATCATCTGGATCATGTGCCTGCTTCCTGTCTTGGTCAAGAGTCTTCTGTTTGCGAATATGGAATTCCGGGTGCCTTTCTAGAAACCTCACTGTCCACATAGATCCAATCGTCAGAGGCATAATCTCAGGATCGTTGCTATCATGATGTAACGACCCAGCATACATGAGCTATGGCAGATGGAACCTATACCCATACAGATAGCCAGGAGGCAAACTGGTAGGAACCGGCAGGCAAGTAAGTACTTGACCTACGGAGACCCAATGGCCCGGGCTCCGAGAATGAACAGAATTGGCTGGTCAGGGACTTAGGTACCTGGATACACCCAGGAGCGGTGTCAGCACACTTAGGGACCTCTGAAGGGGTGGTTACTCAGCTAGGCAGGGTAACTGGAGAAAGGTCAGAAGAGTCTATTTCCGGCGGGGGACTAGACAGGGTAACAGGGAAAAGTCATCTTGCCCACCGGACAAGGTTACCCTACCCTTAGGGCCAGGTTACCCTGCCATGGAGCTTGGGTTACCCTGCCCAAAGTCCTGAGTTACCCTACCTTTCAATACGAAGTCCCTTGGGGAGTTCGGGAAAAATGACTGGAATGTTTGTCACACGAAGCCATGTATAATACTGGAATCTGGGGTTCCAGGGGATGCTATTGGGTGAGCTAGGCAGCTCCGAAGAAGCTGTAAATTAGAGACATTATTCCTATCATACCCCTCCGGCCCCGCCTTAAGGCCCGGACGTCATAGGCAAATGGTTGCATGGTTGTGTGCAGTCTAGCAACGTGGAAGGTCTGAAGACCTGCTGGCAACACGGTATATGTCGCTGCCGTCCGGGCGACCGTAAGCTGTTCGTAGGATATACAAGGGGGCATAGGGCGGAATGTGGAGTACCTCCTCCAAGTTGTTCGGAGTAAAACGGACCAAAACTGGCAGGGTTAACGGGAGTTAACCATAGAGGTCCCAAAGGTAGTCCCGGGTAGTGCCGGGGTGGCCGGGAGAGTTTTACACCTATCAAGCCTGCAAGTCTCCCCAATGTCATAGGCTCTGAAAGGGACGTGCAGAGACACTATAAGCATGATTCCTACCACAGGTAAGGTGGGTCCGAGGTAGTGGTCATGGGTAGCGCCTATTCGACCCCTTCCGGATTACCGTCCCTTGCGGAAGACACCAGAAGCCTGAGAACCGTAAATAGTAGATGGATAAAACGCTCACGGTAGCTTCCGGGGCCAAGTAGAGATTAATGTAAATGGGAAAGGTGTCACAGATAGTCTAGTTCATGCAGCGTCTTGACTGTTAGCCACTGGCAAGATGCCGATGCGCAGAAGCTTTCACTCCGGTGGGCAAAATGGAAATGCATCGCAGAAACGATAACCGCATAAGGTGAACGCCGACTAGAGTGTATCAACACATGCATGCCCAAAGGGTGTGCGAGGAGACGTGTCGGACCGCCCTTAGCGGGGAAGGGTGTACTCGAATGGTTGAAGTAAACTGATAGGGGAGTTTCTGACATGTGATAAAACTACCTGAAAGTCTATGTAAGAACTCTTTAACTCCAACAATCAATCCTCTTGAGACCTTAATTGAGTGAAGCGTCAGGCTTAACGATATTAAGTTTTACCGTTTACTTTACTCTTACATTGGTGTGAACTTTTGGCGATAAGTTTGAACTTGTTCAGTACGGTCGCAACCTTGGGATCCATCTTCCTAGCGGTGCCTCCGTTACATATAATTGTGCTTGAGAATCGAATTCGCACAACTGGTAACCATGGAAATGTGTGCCAAGGTACCAATACCATCTAATCCTTCTAAATACATGCAAACTGAAAGCTCCTCAGCCTCTGAGAGTCATTTATTATATGGTAACCGTTGGGATTTCCATTGCCATTCATTCCATCTTGCTTCTAAACGACTGGCAGGTAGATCAAACTCCTGTGCCATCGCAGCAATATTTGGCTTATCGGTTTCGAGTAACTTCTGACAGGCTTCTCCAATTCCGTATTCCACATCGTGATAATTTTCTGACATTAATACAGCGTTGTGGTATGGCTAATCGGGAGTAGGAATCACAATAGTGGTGATTGTTGCATTGAGCTGAGATGTTACGTTGAGCTGATAGGCACGTCGTAGACGTGCCCCACGATTTTGGAACTGTGTGCAGTTACATAATCGGTGTGAACCTTGGCACGGTTACTCCTACTCGGCTCAGGGGTGGGACAAAACCCGTTTCTGAAAACAGTTTAACAGAGAAGGGGTACACGGGAGTAATCAAAAATCGCAAATCATAATCCTTGTCTCCGTATCATAGATATATGGAATTGGCAGAACAAGGTTTCTGGCCCTTACTGGTCCCTCCCATACATTATTGGTCATCAGAACCGATGCCGAGCGGAGGCCATTTTTTCATCGATATGAGCAGAATAGAAGGATGCGGTTTCGCGGTGTAGTTGGTTATTACGTCAGTCTAATACACTGGTGGTCTCCGGTTCGAGCCCGGCCGAACTCACTCTCTTTTTCTCACTTTTAACACTTTTTTTCCTTCTTCATTCACAATGCCATCTATGTCATTGGCTCCAATCGGCTGCTCGTCAATTTATACGGCTGGGGAACCCTTTAACCAGATGAAGGAACAGCACGAGAGAGTGAGACTGGTCATTAATACAATTAATAGCATAATTTATTTACACGAGTGAGAGCTTGTGACTAGTCATCCTCTATTATGATGACGATGATACCAGACGTGGAGAAAAGGAAGAGAAAGAGAAAAAAATGAAATCCATCGAGAAAGCTCCATTTTCCCAATCTCGGACCTCCCACCACTCACCCTCTGACCAGTTGGCATAGTAGTTAGTCCACCTTTGCACCGGCGAGGTGGCCTGAGCGCTTGCCATGAGGTTATTGAGCTGCCGGACGTTGGTTTTAGCAAACCTTTTAGCATGCTTGAGTTTTTTCTAGGAAGCCATGACAAGGATAGAGGATTTAGTTACAAGGTAATTCGAGAAGGATCCCAGAAATATTCTAGGTGATGAGTTAGTTTATGACGTAATACTAACAGAGAGTAATTCAGGGCGTCCACCCCTCTAGTGCACTTCTACCATAGGAACCAAGAACCAAAAGTGTAGGGTCCATAGAGTCGATCTAAATCATATTAGTCAGACAATCGTATATCGAGAAATGAATTACAAACTTTGGATTTCAGTGAGAAGACGCTTTGGGCTCCCGCAGTGAATCACCCCTACAGCGACCCTGACCTACAGCCTCGTCTCCCCCAAAAGCTTTCCCACCAGCCTAGCGATTGCCTCTGCCGCAATGAGCCTCTTCCGCTCTGCCTCCGGGCGCCCCCTACTCCTCTCTGAAATATCACCAATGTTGGATAACGGAGACGGTGTTCCGGGTGTATGAGGAATGTTCATAGCTGCAAGGCTGGTCCCCATGGCGGCAGCTCAGCTACTCAATTCTCCCTCTATCTTGTCATCCGGAACAATCTTGCCGCTGTCTTTCACCGTATCCTGATCGATGGCATATATTGCCATCAGAGTATCGCCATCTCCCAGAACCGTCCCGGTTGTCCACTCCAGGGCATGCTGGGCCTCCCCACTCAAATCCGTAGCAACAAGATACTTTTGCACCCGCTTATTACCTTCCGCTGCCTCCTTGACTATCGACTCATATTACCCACGCAGAATTGTCCTAACGACACGTTGAGTCTCCGGTGTAGAAGTGATAGGAGAGAAGATCATCTCCACCCTCTGGGTACGATGCAGATCGCGGGCGTCCGCTTCTGTATCCTAGGACATTGGCGTTGAGTTATGTGACGGTATGTCGAAATCTGTAGAATGACGCACACCCGATCATCTATTCTTTGTAGGCGATTTGCTCCAGGAATGCTAACAGACAGGGTAATCAATATCGAGGGCAGGAGGGAGCGAATACCTATACCTAACACTCAGCCTTCCCTATCAGAAAAGTCAGAACCACCCCTAGAATGTAGGCAGGAGTACATACGTTCTTCCTCCGCAGCAGCCAGTAAACTCGTGCTTGTCCTCCACATACCAATAGCCACCTTCCTGGCGTCTATTCCACCTCATTTCTTCTTTCCCTTACTTCAGCCCCGACCGGAATCACACAGAATCCTAATCACAATTTGATCATACCTGGAGCTTCATCTACTGTCTCCTCCGTTCTCGCGGTGCTACTTTTATGGCTGGGGCCGGTCCATTTCTGAGCGCAGCGGCCCGCCCTCGCCTCTTCTCTTCCTCACTCACAGGAGAATTTGATCCAACGCTTTCCTTGACACTACTGGTCTCGCCTTCATCAGAGGAATCAACCACCGCACGTTCATCGACATCACCCTAGTCCCCCTGAAATCTCACACACCCTCTGCGCGTCAATAGCTCTCCAGTGCCAGCCCTGACATGCCCCCCTCAAAAGTGGTAATTGGCCCGTGCTCCGGCAACACCCACAAAACACCCCCTGATCCCTCAGGTGCGCCATCTGAGAGCTTGGTAAAGGCATGTTCTAGATGAAGTAGGACACCGGCATCGTTGGTTATTTGGTTAGGATCTGGTTGCGAGCAACCGGGGGGAGGAGAGGCCAGTCATCCAGAAGGTCACGAGGATGCAGATCCCTGCATGTGATGCAACGCGGCATTTGATATTGGTGGAAGCGGCCGCCTCCCTGGGGGCCCGACGCCGCCATGATACAAAGAGGGCTGGGCAGGGTCATTCTAAGAAACTTGCGTGGCTTGCTTCGTGGCGGATGGGGAAACCGAAGGGAGGACAGCAAAATTGGAGGCATCATTTGGGGTTAGGGTTAAAAGGCGTCATGTGGTTTCGTGGTGTAGTTGGTATCTACACCACGAAACCGGTTTCCAAGTCCTGCGCCCATATCCCACCAAACCCCTTCCTCGACCGTACCACACCCTCTCCCCTCAGCCCCCCCTAATACCCCCCTCCTCCCCAAGAAACATATCCACAACAACAACAACCGCATCCAAAGTCCTCCCACACCTCTCGACAACCTCCCTCTCAACACCCTCTTTCCCATTCCCATCCAAAAGCCCCCTCAGAACCCTATCCAACACCCTCCCGAGTCCCGACATCGTCTATACCCCGGATAATCTCGTCCACGTGCGGCAACAACGGGCAAATTAGTGGCACGGTGCGCACGTCCTCCGCCAGGAAACGTAGGCTGGCCGCGGCCCTGTATAGCGCTTTCGCCAATAAAGGTTTTTGTTTCCGCATGGTTTCTTGTTTTCTTGAGTGAGGGTCTGTACAGATAAAAGCGGGGGGGCGATGTTAAAGTACCATGATCTGGTCCTCCGGCATCAGCCGTGTGTCGCTTGGTATATGTCGGTGGAGCAGACTTGGTAAAAAAAAAATTCTTCGAAGGTTGGCCTTCATTAGTATGTACACAATGCAACAACTCTGCAATTACGTTAGACCCTTCCATGCGTCATACTCCCACCTATCAAACGCGACTCGCATATTATACTCGACTTATGCACTACGACGGGCTCCATCGAACGCTGGGTTGTTCCCCGGGGCCTCGGAAAATTGGAGTACAGAGCGAGGAAGAGCGGGCAGGGTGATCTCTGGGCGCTTGGAGCGAAAGCCCACACAAGCCGAAACATAAAGATTGGTGGCGACAGAAGGAACACAATGTCAACGTTTGTCACAATCCAGGACTCCCACGGTGATGGGGTGAGGGCTATTGTTGAGGATAAGGCGGCCACCTTCCTGAAGGCGATGAAGAAGCAGGTGAAGGAGGCAAAGAAAGCTGCAGGGCTTCAGAGGAAGCGGGATGCTGGGGAGAGTCATCTCGAAATGGTTAGGGCGTACAAGGAGAAGAAGAAAAGAGGGCTACGGGAGAGGGCAATAGCGGGGAAGGGGACCCGGGAGATGCTCGAGGAAACGATTAGGATGCGTAGAGATATGAGGGGAATGATGCGGGTGCAAACACGGAGAAAGGGGTTGGAGGCAACGAAAGGGGGGGTGCAATCGCAGTTTTGCGCTCGCAATGGAACCGGATTTTCATATCTGGAGTGTCGGCCTCTAGTGGGTGGGGTGTATATATGGGGCTTCTCGATTTTTGTAAATTATTTACCTATGATAGCTCCAAAATGTGTTAACCGCAGCGGGTATTGGTGGTATCACCCGAAAAAGTCGAGTGATTATTGGTGAAAGGTTACTACTAACCCCACCACTCCCAAATCCACTCACCTCTTCCACCACCCGCCCAGCAGTTGTGAGAACGGGGGGATGTATACCGGTGAGTTTGTGCTCCGGGTGAGTGCACGGGCAAGTGCTGTCGACTGTGGGACCGGCTGGAGATGGTAGCTTTTGTAATCACCCGTTAGGGGGTGGAATGTTATCGTTGGGTTCTCTCCTTTGGAGTATTCCATAATAATTATTATTAAATTTGACGGGTTTTCCATATATTCCTGTATTCGGCTGACAGGAGCCCTCTAAGGTCACGCCCAGCCGGAGCCGGCGCAGTGTCTTCGCGATGTGTGGATTGGAATATAGGTGTTTGTCAAGTGATGTTTTGTGATCTTGATGAATATAGTTATCAATACAAGGAAGGGGTGGCGCTAGTAATAGATACTGTGCCCTCCCATAGGGCTTCCGAATCAATTACTGAATGAACCCGATGAGTGGAGGACTATCCGTCAGCTTCCGAACCCTTTCCCCGGCCTCAAATGTTATTCTAGTCGGCAGGGATGGTCCACTGTAATTGTTGTCAACATGCTCTAGGGCCTCGAATACCAAGGTTTAGATCTTGTCTATACTTTCTATCGGGCTCTAACTTACAGGATTGCCTTTCGGCTCTGGGAGAACGTACCAGGTTTCCGGGAGGGGAGCAAAAGTAGAGCAGCAGTCACAGGGCGTGTTGGATCTCATTAACCGACATACGTAATTCTATTAGCTTGTCAAACTAAAACTATCCAGGGCAGACAGAGAGAGCAAATCCAAAGCGTTTTTAGAATAGTGCGGCTGAAAAATAAGGGCGTCGCTTGGGTCTGATAAGAAATATTTCCTGCTAGAACGATCTAAGCGGAGCTAGGTGACGATTTGATTTTCGGGGCACGAGTATATATAGGACATCCTATTCTCCTCTCCTCTTTCCCTTCTTACCACCGCATCCACCTCTCCTTTTCAACTCAGTAACTCAGTTTTCTTATTCTCACCTCCAATCCCCTATTCTCTGATTTAACCCTTCCTTTTAACATGCCTCGGGTTTCCCTAATTCTCCGCGGTGCACTACGCAAGCGTGCCTTAGTCCGTCGATTCCCCAACCAACACCCTCAGAGGTCCGTTACGAGCTCCGGTGGTCGAAATACTAAGGGTATCTTGGTATGCAACCACGCCCAATACTCTTAATTTACTGACAATTGCTCTGATAGTGGTACCGGATGACCGGACTGGATAAAACGATTGGGTGTTTGAGAAATGTTTGTTTCCGATATATGTTTAGACTATTTTACACTGTGCTTACTCCAGTAAT